TTAATCGTGAAAGAAATGCATTAAAGGCGAAAAATCGAGGATAGTTTCGTGTGACATATGCCAAGTCTGGGCTATTTTGGTCTCAATGTTTCCTTCCTTCCCTTGTTATAAGGAAGGCACAGGCGGGCGCGGGCAAATCGAGCCTGGGCCTCCTGTGATTACATGTGGAGCCAATCAGAATTCAATTTCTTACGTTTGCAAATTTACTTAACTGAATATACGTTCGTTTACGTCCTTCGGTGCATGTTAACTAATATGGCGGCCAAAACATGCAACGAAAACGAAAAAAAACAACTTGGAAAGTATTGCGTTGCTGGTGGCCCAAATAATGAAAGTTGCAAGAACAACTCGACCACTCCAGGGTTATCCATGCATGAATTTCCAAAACCTGGCAATCAACTTGCGAAATCTATGGATAAAGTTTGTCAGGCAACATAGAATGGCAGACTGTCAGCCTTCGCCTTACTCGTGCTTGTGTTCTGCACATTTTGAACCACAATGCTTTCATCAGCGACTTGGTCTCGGATTGAAAATCAGCAGCAATATCACAACAAAACGACTATTAGACAGAAGTTGTGCGATTCCAACCATTGACACCGCCCCGGACAGAACCCCGCATCCAGTTTCACAACGGGAGCACAGACTGGTGCGGTATTATATTACATAATTTCAAATATATGTAAATTTATTATCAGATTAGTTTTAAGAAATTTTATTGAAATATTTACTCTAACTGAACATATTCTTCATGATGCCAGCTTCATATTTGCACACCAACAAAGTGAGCAAGCATGCGAAGGAGATATTTCAGGAGTACAACTTGAAACGAGCATGGAAGCCGATACACGTCATACCAGTGATATTTCTCGTTCAGCATGCGAAGTTAAGAGCGTAACAAACATAAACAACGATATATCAGATTGAATAAAAATACAGAAAAGCCAAAAGTGTGCAACAAAAGCTAAAAAGTAAGGTTGTTCAACTGGAAAAAGCTAACGAAGCCTTGACAGTGGTAAATAGTATGTTTTGATAAAGAATTTACACTATATTTAATATGACAGATGTATATGTTTATTTTACATATTTTATGCTCAGGCTTCAGCATTCTTTCTGCTCAAGTGGCAACCAAATTTACAATTTAATACTTTATAATTATACGGTATATAATCTGCCATTCCAGTGTAAAGTATTATATTCAAAATATTGTAGTCCGACACTTTATACCTATAGGTAGGACATATTATATTCTACACATGCAACTTCCTGTTTTTGCTCAATGCCTTTGACCTAATAGGGGCTGTTTATATGATCTACTGCAGCTATGATATACCCCTGATATATGAAAAATATCAAACTTTCATAGGCTACTAGCTAGGGACATGTCAGGAGTAGATTCAGCCAATTGAGTCAGCCTGTTACAAGAGGGTAACCCTTAGAATTGGTATACAATTTTTATCAATGAATACCGTTTGTCTCGACCTCCAGGCGAACTTTTTATGTCCATGCCTTTTGACAAAATACAGAATATTTTTTATGTTCTCGCTTTTTGACAAAAATACAGAATATTTTTTATATTCTTCCACAAATACCTTTCAGAAATCCGGAGATTCATGTTGGCAAGGGGAGTAGAGTGTCACTGGTGCCCGAGATACCCTTATACCCTTTAGTAAGCAAAATGTTGTTATGGGTGCAAATGTAAACAAACGACTAACTTGTATCTGTTTTTAAGAAACTTGAGAATCAAGCTCAAGACCTACAGCAACATGTTGAAGAAGACGAAGATATGAATGCTGTCGATGAGACCATTGAGGAATCAGCTGATTATGATGGTGCTACACTGGAACGAGAGTGGGACCCTTTTAGAGAGGAGGAACAAATTAATAATGCTGGAATTCCATCAAATCAGTGCAGCAGAAATACTGTCAGGTACAACTAAACATAATTTAATGAAATATAACAAAATATATAAATAGCTGCCAACTTGTTGATTTCATCCTGATCCATTTGTGTACAAGAAAATTAAAGTACAGTACAGTAGTTTTTATTGGTCAATAATGGACAGTGGATTTAGATTAATTAATTAATAAATTCATCATTATTACTTTCGTTACTACTATCAGCCAAACGGGCTCGTTTTGATACGGCAAAAATTCACCAGCAGGGACATGTTCGTCGCTTCCACTGCCGCTAGAATAATTACTTTCGTTGTAGCCCCCACTACTATCGGACGAGGAACTACATTCTCGGTCAGACATGTCAAAACTGCAGAAATTTTGTTTAAAATGCTAAAGCCAAAGTGTTAACTTTTGTATAGAACTTGTTTACAAGAGACAGAAAGCTGAAAGTGCAGCTAGTGTTACTCTTACGTGTGACGTCACGTTCGGTTCCAGTCTCCTGGAAAATTTTTGTTAAAAATTCTAATGTTTGTACCCAAATAAAGGCATTTTCTGGCATTGTGATTAAAAAATAAATATTACCACGATAATCAGCGCATCAAAAAGTATCAGAAAAGTGAAAAAAATCATACACCAAAATTTCATGTCATAGGCACTTTAAAAATATATATTGTTATTACTATTACTATTATTATTATTATTAATTTATTTCTCCAAAATGGTATTTCAGAAATAATTACAATCGTATGAAAATGAAGATTAAATACGTATTTACATTAGTTTATTAGAAAATCTATATATACTAATATATCAAAATATACAAATATTTGTTTAAGGGTATAATAAATCAATTATTGATAGTATTCTAAAATATAAAATTATTTTGAGTTGTTCCAGCACTCTCCATGCAGTATCTCTCTTACTAGTTTTTTAAAAACTCCAATACTTGAACTATCTTTAATGTTATTGTCTAAATCATTCCATAATTTTGTTGCTCTATATAAAAAAGTGCGCTGACCAGCAGCTGTGCGATAAAATGAGATAAATTTATCTAATTCATCCATTTGTCTTGTCGCCCGACCATGTGTCTGTGAATCTTCTTGCAAGACATGGTGGTGCTAACCCTTTAAGACACTTATAAGCCATAACAGTATCTTTATATTGCAGCATATAAGAAACAGGTAGCCAGTTTAGCTGTTGTAGCACGGGTGTAATATGATCATACTTTCTGGTGTCTGTGACAATTCGTGCAGCAAAATTCTGCACAGTTTGTAGTTTGGCAATATTTTTCTTAAACGTATTTGCCCACACAGATGAACAATAATGAAGTTTGCTGAAGACCAAGGCGTTTATGATCACAATCAAGGTTTGGCTGTC